AAGTTCTTTCTTTGTTGTTGAGAATGGAAGGGTGATAACTACCAGAATCTGAGAGGGGAGGAGGAACCGTTTTACTTTGAATGCCCCACCATGTACCACCATTGCTAGCTGCATCTTGTTCTTTCCCCTCAAATGCACATTATAATATGTGGAATATGTTTGTGAAGGGTGTGAAGGCCAAAAAAGTTTTGAGCTTCTGGATGTTGTTGCTGCCTAAGCATACTCAAGCAAGTTTGGGTGCAGATTAATACTATAAAATGTAATAACTTGGGGCATTAACGTGTAGTAATTACTGTGTCTCCTGAAAATTGTTAAGAAGAAATATGTTATATATTTTTTTGGCCTTTTTGTATTAGCTTCCAAAGCAGAATCATTTTGGGTTTCTTAGGAGTAACTTCTGGATTTTCTTTTTTTCACTCCTTTTTAATTCCCTGCTTCATATTTCTTTCCCTCTTGCTCTGATGGCTTTTTCAAGTTTCTAATCATGTTTTTAAAAAATTATTTATTTTTATGTGGTACTGAGGATCTAACCCAGGACCTCACATGTGCCAGGTAAGCGCTTTACCGCTGAGCCACAACTCCTATTTCTCCTAGCTTTTAACAGTGCATGTCAAAATCTTTTGATATAAACGAGTACAAGTAATTAGTAAAAGAAAAATGATTGTAGGTTATGGATTTTATTTTCTTTTTCACTAGAGATCTATTGTGTTTCCTTGATTTTAAGGCTTATGTTTTTATTAGCCATTGTGTCTTTTAATATTACCTCTCCCTTATTGCTTTATTGTCTTCTTTTAGGACTAGTAAAATATCTACAGATCTTCTTATTCTACCTTCCATATCTATGAAGTTCTTTTCATATCCCTGCCCTGCTTTTCCCTGCATTTGAGATCTGTCTTCTACTTTACTGGTTTTCTCTTCAATGCTGTCTTACTCTCTTTTGGATTATTATATAGTTATTATAGTTATTTATAGGTGTTTGATTTGATTCTTTTAAAAATTTGCTTTTTGACAGTCACCTTTTCCTTAGTAATACTTTAAAATATCCTTTTAACCGCTTTAAACAGATGAAACTATTTCTCTTCCTTTTTTTTTTAATACTTGATGATTTCTGAAGATCTGATTCTGATACTGTGTCTAACTCTAAATAATGGTGGTAGGTTTCCTTGTGTACTTTGTGAGTTGTGCTTATATTTATTGGTACTTTGCCTATGGGAACTATTTGATTCTGCCAGGCTACTGGGCATATTTAATTTTATGCCAGTTTAAACTGAATTCTCTTTTGACATTTTTAAATCAAGCAGGTAATGTTAATACTGTTTTTCAACTCTGCCTGAAGGCCAGATGATGATGATTCTCTACCTCATTTCTTGAAGGTTTGGTCATTCTGTTGTGGACTAAATTAGTCTAATTAAATTGTGGACTGAATACTATATTAAAAAAATACAGTAGGCTCTTTAGTGAAAAATTTTTGGAAGAACCCACGTTGAATAAGGCAAAAAGGTGTTTTTTTTTTTTTCCTCCTTCTTCTTCTTTCCCACTGCAGAACTTCAGAAGTATTGAATAAGTGAATAGGACTTGATGCTTAGTAGTCATATGAAGTAACCAGAATTTTCCTTGTTCTACTCCATGGCTCTTTTTGGAGGTGGGGGGTGCATACAAATGCAAATGTGTAGCATTTCATGGGAACAGTGAGACCGGTGAAATGATTGGTCTTCTGGAATCTTTGGTTTCTGCTGAGAGCCTTTTCACTGCCTCTCCCTCTGTTTGTAGCACTCTGCTTACTCTTTGATATGTGTGTGTGTGTGTGTGTGTGTGTGTGTGTGTGTGTATCTTAAACTCCCTCATAGAAGATGTGATTGTACCTGTGATCCTTATCCCCAGAATAAGACATTCTCATTGGATAGAGCTGTTGTATCAGGCTGCCACATAGGCCATTGGTGAGTTTTCTTTGGACCAGTTGGATCCGGACCCTAGTTATTTCCAGAGTGGTCGATAAATAAGGCTATTTTGTTTTGTTTCCTATTTTATTTGTGTCTGCCAGTTTAATATAAATTTCCTGAAACCATGTATGTCTTCCTCCTCATTATTTCTTCACTGTCAACATAGAAAAACGATATGCATTAGATGCTAGATCAATATGTTGACATTTTAGCTTGACAAGCCTTCATCATTATCCGAGTGTAGCTAGTAGTCAGTATTGCATGGCTTGTTCATTATGGATGATTTCATTTTTTCATCTTAGTGTACCCCCCCAAAATCTTTTGAACAGAAATTGACTATGTCAAGCTCGATAAGTATCCGACGCAAAAAGTTCTTATAAATATCTGTGTCCTCTATCCCATAAAATCATTTTCTTTTTTAAGACTAACTTCCAGTTTCCTATTCTTGGTGAAGCTGTGTTTTTTCTCAGTTACTTATTCCATTCTTAGTTTTTCCACAGCACTTGGTACACACATCTTTCTGCATGTACCTCATTGTTGCATTTGGTCTTTCCTGATACACTTTGAGTTCTTAGAAGGTGAGATGCTGAAGGGAAGCTCAAGTGATAAGTCCATGTAGACAGGATCTCTTCAAGTGTTTTATTTTATTTAAAAAATATTTATTTTTTAGTTACAGGTGGACACAATGTCTTTATTTTTATGTGGTGCTGGGGATCAAACCCAACGCTTTACACATGGTAGGTGAGTGCTCTACCGCTGAGCCACAACCCCAGCCCTCATCAAGTGTTTTAAATAAGTATTTCTTGGAGACAGAAGGAGAGTGGCAGAGGAACAGTGTGAGTACCTGGAAGATATTTTGATGTTTGATAGGTGTGAGCTAGTGAGAGAAAAGTTGGGATCAGAATTTGGCTATGACCAATTAAGATACTTTGATATATCCTGTCTCATTGGGCTAATTTGATTTTCACAGTGAGCTGTGAGGTAGTTCTTATCTGAGTTTTACAGCTGAGGAGATTAAGTCGCTTCCCCATTGTTATACTTGTCCAATAGTAGAAGATACTACAAAACGTTGATTGACAGAGGGACCTGGTCTCATGCCAGCCTCTATGGTGGTGCCTGGTGTCTTACTGCCCAGCTGATTCTAATGTCGTATCGGCGATGAACTTTCTGATTTTCTTGTCAGTTAGGGGAATTCTGTCATCTTTTTGAAATGGAAAGTAGGGAGAAGATATGACTTATTCATAAAAAATGACTAAGCCACAATTGGAATGTGTTTTCTTTTTGAACTGAGGTATGCTTTTATAGACATTGAGTTGTCTTAAATATTCTTTTTACCTTAATTTTAAATAGCATCATAACCAGTTGTTATATATTATGACTTAAATTTAGTACTTGCCACTCCTTGTGGTAGGTTCTATTATCCCCATTTCACAGATGTACAAACTAAGGCCAATAGAAGAGTCTTGCCATGAATCATATAGCTTGTAAGTAATAAAGATATATTTAAACTTTAAGCCCACAGAATCCAGTATTCTTATCCTTTACATCCTATTTGTATGTACTTTAAACATATTGACATAAGCGCATAGCCATCTTAAACAGACTTCATAGTTAACTATTAAATCCTCATTGTGGTTTGCAGTGATGTATATATAGTACATTGCAAATTATGTTAAAATAACATAATTTATGTGCTTTTTCCTTCTTCCCTTTCCTTTTTTTGTAATTCTAATATTTAAAAGAAATACAACTATAAAAGGTTTAATACTAGAAGTACCATATTCTCCTTCTCAAGATATATATGTATGGGGAACATAAATTTTTACACATTGGATGAGCTAACAAGTGTACATTTTATAGTGAAGGGCATTTGTTTTGAGGAAAAAGTCTCATAGCTTGTTTTTTTTTTTTTTTTTCCACTAGCAGTCCAGTGATGGCTTAGTAGTACATCCGGGAGTAGGCATGTGTCTTGTCTGACATCAGTCTTGTCTGACAACAGTTGGGGTGTTCCAGGGGTGTGCATCTTCACTGGAAATGAGTCACCACTTTATGTTTTGCCACAAATCAGACAATGAGCTTTTCTTCTGAGGCTTTCAAAGCCTTTTGCATCTGTTGACAGTGGAATCTTAAATTATTCAAGGCAAAAATATGTTAAATCATCAGAAGCAGTTGTTTTATTATCCCTGATACCAGGTTGGGGCTATAGCTCAGTGGCAGAGTGCTTGCTTGGCACACGTAAGGTGCTGGGTTCTGTCCTTACCACTACATAAAATAAAGGTATGCTGTCTATCTATAACTACCAAAAAAAAAAAAAGTAAATACCATATTATTCTCTAGACAATTGTATACAGAGGCATAGCTTATATTGAAAAAACTTGTAGAAATGTCAAGGAGCACGACTAAAAATTCAAACAAGAGCTGATGGGATAAATAGGTTACACTTAGTAATAGGGATAAATGATTTTCTTGGGGATAGTATACTTTGTAAACATGTGATGATCACCTTTAGGTATCAAGGGAAACACTTTGAACAAATTTTTATACTGATTTTAGGAACTCTGAACATTTTACTGTTTTAGTCCTTTTCATGTTTTTATAATAGAGTAGCAGTAAAGCAAAGGGAATTTGATTATTTATTTATTTGCCAGGGATTGAACTCAGGGGCACTCAACCACTAAGCCACACCCCAGCCCTATTTTTTGTATTTTATTTAGAAACAGGGTCTCAATGAGTTGCTTGGCGCCTCACCATTGCTGAGGCTTTTTTTGAGGATCACGAGATCCTCCTGCCTCAGCTTTTGAAGTAACTGGGAGTATAGGCACACACCACCATACCTGGTTCATGTTTTTATTTTTTAATTCATACGTTGCGTGATGGAAAGACTATAAAGTAAAAAAATAAGTCACTTTTTATATTGTTGAAATATTTAGAAAACAAATGTTTGTTTTAACTTATAATAAATCATGCATCTGATCTCATGCCCTTAAATACTTGTGAAATCTTTATTACTTGAAAAGTAAAGATTCTTTCTTTCTTTTGTTTTTTTTTTTAATTCTCCAGAAACGTGCTAAGGGACAGGTGTTAATTGACAAGGTATGCGAACACCTCAATCTTTTGGAGAAGGATTACTTTGGACTTTTGTTTCAGGAAAACACAGAGCAGAAAGTAAGTAATTTCAACTTATTTATTTCCTTTTAGAAAACACTATATTTTTCCTTTAGTTTTAAAGTAACTTAGTGTTTATTATGGTGTATTTTATATTTATTATAAAAATTTGGTAAATATATAAAAATGATCTTGTTAGAGAACCACCTACAACTTTTTAGCTTAAGTGTGTGTGCTCTTTGCATTTATATCATGAGCAGACACAGTGGAACATTTTGTCCTATGTTAATTATTTGAGAGTGAACTGATTTTAAAGGTATCTTAAAGTTTTATTTTTTGAATTCACGTAAAAACTTGGGGAGAACGTATTTGAAAAATACATATATTGAAGTAAAAGATTTTCAGTGTTGGGAAAATTGATGTTCTAGCATAAAGTAAGGACTTTTAAAAAAAATGGTATTATCTCAGTCATGCCATATTCCTAGATTTTGGTGGTAAGCATAGAGGTTGATCAAATCCATTCATATTTTCCACATATAGGTATGTGGTCACCTGCATGCTAGGTATTAGGTAAGTCTGAAATATGGAGGAGATGTAGTGAAAGGAATGCCAGGAGAAGAGTGCCCGAGTGTGCTTGCTGGGGAAGTTCAGGAGAGAATGTTGGCTCCTGCTATAGCAGGTGTGTGAGAGGTAAGGTGCTCTTGTTGGGCCATTGGAGACAAATAAGGAGGCAGGGGCCAGCCTGCTTAGGGTAGTAGGTTTGACTAGCCATTGAAGACTCTAGACATCTGCCTAATACTGGGAGTTGATTGAGATGGGTTTTTGCTCCAGGAGTTTCCCAAGACACTAAGCAAGAGCATCATGGTGATCTGATGCTTAGTGCTAATTCCAGGGAACTTCAGTACTTCAAAATTTCATAAGTGAACTAAAGAGGAAAATATTAACTAGTCCTGGCAGAACCAGAATTAACCTGTAGTCTTACAGTAGATAAAGAAATTTTTCTTTTACTCCTACTTTACTTTGAGTCTTGGGATTTACTTTGGTTGAGAAAATGTTGAGTATAGGAGTGAAGAATAAAAGTTGTACCTGAGGGAGGAAGCCCTTTTTTCTGTTAGATAGTGACTATAGTCAGTGTGACCATTATGTCTGAGGATGCTCAGAGCACTTGATCACAATGAAAGGGATTACTGTGCAAATATCTAAGATTCAAACCACAATCGTCAAAACAGAACAGTCATTAGAGGAACATAAATGTGAATTTTGTTATTTGCTTATGTACAATCTTTGTTTGTATTTACATGTTCTACTAATAAAATATGGTATGCTAAGGGTAATAATTTAAATTTTTTCAACTTGCATTGTTTTAAATCACTGATACCTAATTTGTAGTTTAATTCTATATTTAGACTAAAGACAATTAAATTGTATGCCTGCCTGCTAAATAGTATGTGAGTGTACTTATTAGATCTATGTTTAGAAGTCTTCTGCAGAAGTAGTAATCCATGTGTCTAAATAAACTTGGTGCTCTTTTAAGACTATAAATTATAAGGTGGTCTTGATAATGTTTCCCATCATGGGCTCATTTGTTGGCCCTCAAATCTAAGAGAGAAATTGGTAGGAATTTGGCTATTATTATCTACTTTATTGATTTTAGGTTATATAGTAGTGGATTCAGTGGAGTAATTAATCTTTGTAAAGAAGGGAGACAGTTCAGTATTTTGTAAAAATATGAAGAATAGTATGTTAGTAAAAATGGGATATACTACATTAAGAAATCTAGTATTTCTGGAGCACTAGTTTTGCATAAGAAGAAATACTATTTAGAGAGTAGGATTTGATAATTCACACTAAATGTATCTAGTCTATATCTTACATCTGAATTTCATTCCCATATACTTACTAGTCTACTGGATACTACACTCAATTGTTTAAAAGCAAAGTGGTAATCTTCCTCTTAAATATCATCTATTCCTTGAAGAGTTGTTGTAGATTCCTCTTTCCTCCTTACTGCCTTCCATTCCTTATCAGTCAATAGGGTCTCTTTCCTACTTGCCAACATCCTTCTCCTGTTCTCTTTGTCCACAGATTTTGCTTTGGTTTAGGCCTCTGATACCTCTTGCTTTGAGTAATTTATTTCTCCTAATTGGACTAACTGCCCAAGCCTAGGCCCCTATAATCCTGGTATTTCCTGGCTTAGAACCATTTAATGGATACAGTCTCTAAAACCCGTTAGTGTGGTTTATATGGCTCTTGGTCACATGACCTCAATCAGCTTGAGCTAATTCCCAGTAATCTCTTACAGGAAATCCACATTGAGTGCATACCAAATTCTTTGAAAAGGAGCATCACTCTGGTATATACTATATCTACTTGAATATACTATTTTTAATATTGGAATGTCCTTTCCATTTCTTTTCTGAGTGCCTACCCTTCCTTAAGAGCCACCTTAAGTATCCTACACGGTGAGGTTTTCTTTGCCTTTCACTACTACCTTCCTGCCTCCAACTTAAGGGAAATTTTGATAGTCCCTCTATCATCTCAAAACTTTATGATTGTATCTGACAGTAGGATGATGAAGTCTAACGAAGTTGAGAATTGTGTGGTAACAATAAGCAGGATTTGACTATAGAAAGGGATAGCTGAAGCCAAGGAGGGGTTAATTAATCAAGTCTCATCATCCCAAATGATGAGCACCTATAAAAACTTAAGCAATACATATGCCACTTATGATAACTTCTGAAACAAATATTATGTTTTTAGAATTCTCTCCTTTTGAGAAAAGAAATAGGTGAATGATTAGAACATTTGAAAAAGTATTTCATATAAATATAAAAATATATAAAGGATATACAAGCTTTTGATATACTTGTATAATTTTTCTTGAAATATTCCTAGAATTAAAAATTTGGGACTAAATGGGTTAAGGTAATTAAGGCAGAGAATAAGATAAGGATAAGCTTAGGTGGGTTTACTTTAGCATTCTTATTGACAAAAAGATGCCAGTGCTAAATTAGGAATTCAGAATTTCTTATTTTACTTTGTAATTTCTCTTATGAAATGTATGATGAAATTGCTTTGTATTAAATGCACACTTTGTACCTAGGTTTTAAGTCAAGAATGTTAGGGAAATAAAGAGTGGGGTATCTTTCAGAGACATTTAGTTTTTAGGAAATCAGTGTTCAAATGTAATTATCAGGGCATTTAATTTTTTCATATATAATTAATTAACTTTTATAACTTATGTATTGTGTAACTTAAAAAAATTCTTTCATGCTTATATAGATAAAATCCAGTATTTAAAAGATCTAGGCAAAAGAACTTTTATTCTTCCAGTAAAGATTTGTATGGTGACCTTTTTTTTCCCCCCAGAAAAATTGTTACTCTTAAACTAAGCTTAGTCAATTCTGCTTTGTTAGAACCCCATTTAGTTTCAACAATAGGATACAAGGATGTAAGCTTCTCTTTCTTTTTTTAATACTGACAATTGAACCCAAGGCCCTGTCTGTGCTACTAAAGCACATGCTCTACCACTGAACTGTTCCCCCAGCTAGTTTGTTTCTTTTTCATGCTGAGTATTATCTGTATCTGTATTTGCAGAAGTTTCAGATATTATTTCAACCTGTTGTAAAGTAAAGGTCAGGCAAAACCATGATTATTGCATATGAAAAATTTCCATGGAGAAAATATCTGAACTTTCTTTTAGTTTCAGTATCTTCTATGGTTGAGATGCTGAGTTGGAAGCCCTTCAGTTCATTAAACATGAACCTGTGCCACTGTTAGCATTAGAACTTTTTAATGTCTGTTGAAAACTCCTAATGTATACTTGACTGTGGAAAATGTTATGTGGCATCATGCAACGAGCTATTCTTTTATAAATAGGATTCCAGGTCCAGGTAGTTTTCATATTTATATCTAAGTAGACCCATGATTTTTGGACTCTCTTCAATGGGAAAATATTGTCTTGGATTTCTGATGTTAATAGAATTTGGCATTTGGCCCAGGCATTACAATGTCATTTTCCTGCAAGTGATATTGAAAAAGGTACTTGTTAGAAATGCAGTTAATATACACAGCTAACTTTAGAACTGAAAACTCAATATTAGATTATTAGCACATATAAACTTGTTTTAATAAAATTCTATATTTAATCTAGTTAAACTTTATAATCCCACTTTCTCCCAGATGTACAGTGAAGGTTTTACTGTGATATAGAAAGTCTGTAACTTTTCTCTCAACACCAGCATCTGGTTAGAGGTTCTAATAGATCTAATTTAGGTCTAATAAAGTTATATTAAAGGGGAATCAGTTTAAGTGCTATAGATTTCTTTGGAAAATGCAGATTTAAAACAAAACTACTTTTGTGTTTTTAGCATTCGGCAATACAATGTGAGTTAGGTTGAATTTGTTAATTTCTCTCACCTGAACAAATTAGAGATTACCAAGAAATTTGAGGAAGGCATGGCTAGGCATTTGAAGAGACCTCTCACTCTGGGAGCTTAGGGTCTACCCTGAAAGCGCGGTTAGGAGAGGTAGATGACTTTTTGGAGAAATGAAATGCTAAGGAGCAACGTAATCTAACACTTGCTAAAACAGCAAAGCAGAGTTTGTTTAGGACTCTCCGTGATTGTTCCAGGGACCGACCACTGCAGTAAGATTTTTGGTAGGAGAGGAAGATTGGGCTCAACTCCAAATAAAAGGAGAAGTAGGAATTTATAGTGTATGTTGGGATGTTTAGTGAATAATTTTCTGTTATTATTAAAAGGAAATACCAGAGAATTGACAATTACAGGGATCCTTGCCAAATACTCTAACAGGTTTTTGATGACTGCATGCCAGGTAATTTGGCAATGCCTGGGGTGTGGGGGTGGATGAAGAACCCCATAATATATCAAGGATGGGGATTATGGCTAAACCAATTTATCAGCAGGGATTATTGCTGAAATTGGATGATTCATAGATGGCAGAAGTCAAAACATGGAGGCCTAGTTGGGCAGAGATTTCAAGGAGTCTAATTTTATTTGAGGAGAGACTCTTTGTTAGAACTACAAGATGGATTTTGT